GGGAGCTTATTGAGCGCGCTGAGGATCATGCCATCGAACCTATCACAATATAGCATAATTACGATTTCAGAGGTGTTCATAAATAAAAAAATAAAAATAAAGGGTAAATTACGGCCACACGCTTGAGGTAAGGTCAACTTAAAAAAAAAACCCTTATGATTGGGTAATTCAGCCCCCCTAAACTATGAATTTTCTTACACGTCCACCAGGGCAGAACCAGGATCAAAATGTCCGGGGGACTAAAATATCGGGGTTCGGGGCTCGTAATTTTTTAGAATCATTAATAAAAAAATTCAAAAATAAGTAAATACTCATAAATTTTATTTAAAAAAATACAAGTTTTAACCATTTTATTTTATATTTTTATATTAAATATGATATATATATATATATATATATAATTTATATAAGATTATGGAGAAGAAACAAAAAAATTAAGGGTTAAGACACATATTTACAAAATCATTAGGGGGCCCAAAAGTAATATTCAAAAAATATATTGCCAAAATACCTAAAAAAACATTCTTTAATCTTGGGGGGTCAACAGCCCCCCTCCCCCTTATAAGTTCCGCCCCTGACGTCCACCATTGCAGTGTTAAATTTAGTGGAATCTTCTAAATTACGTGGAATATTCTCCTGTTTCTACCCGTTTTACCGTTTCGAGCTCCATATTTTAAAACAAGATGATCACTCTTGTAAATACCATTATAAATATCAGATACCAGATTGTGGTACATCATAAACTGCATTTTTGTACAAAACGAGTACAAACTAGAGAATATTCCATATAATCTAGAAGATTATGTCGAATTTTATACCATAAGGGTGGACGTGTAAGAAGACTCGTAGTTGAGAGGTGGTTGTAATTACACAAACATGAGGGGTTTTTTTGTAATTTGACAAAACCACAGGGGTGGCCGTAATTTACCCAAAAAAGAAACGAGTAGAAACTGATTTATCATATATTGAAAGATTAAGAAATAAACTGGAAAAGAAAACAAACCTTTCCTATGACAGCTTCTCCGTTTACATCATCAACGACATCATCATTAGCGCGTATAAGCCAATGTCTCCAATATAATTGGCACGAGTTGTACTTCACACCACTCACTACACATCCATTGGTCGAAAGTGACAGTCTTACGGAATAAGCAAACAAATACTTCTCCGTTTCGTTTTGAAGGTTACTGAACTCGGGCACAAATGCAGCTGAAGCACGAACCTTTCATCAACATCGAAAATTAATTTTAAAAAAAATTGAGATATTTCATGTCAATGATATGAGTATACGGAGAAGAATTCGAAAACCACATGTGCTCAGGTCATATACTAATAAGGGCAGAGATCGGATGGATTGGATCGGATTTAGCACTTCCGGAAAAAAATCATGTTTTGGAAGGGACAAACTAATTCCAAAAAAAATCAGAAAAACTGGAAACTAGAATGAAAAAACTTGTTCCAAAATCGTAAAATTTCGGATCGAAATCGGTGGAATTCGAATAATACCAATTTTGAGTAACCTGAAATATAAAATACAGAATAATTTTGATATTATTTTTTTCGGGGAAAAAATTCGGATTTTTGGAAATTAAAATCCCATTGGAAATCGGAATCTCATATATATTTCAATTTTGATCCCAAAAAAATCGGAAAATTTGGAATTTGGAATGAAAAAAATTGCTCCAAAATTGGAAAAAAAAACGGATCGAAATCGACAGAAATCAGAAATCCTGTTCCAATTTTCACCCCTAGACACTAATACCAATTTTGAGTAACCTAAAATATAAAATACATAATAACTTTGATATTATTTTTTCGGGGAAAAAATCGGAGTTTTGGAAATTAAAATCCAATCGGAAATCGGAATCTCATATATATTCCAATTCTGATCCCCCAAAAAAATCGGTAAAATTGGAATTTGGAATGAAAAAAATTGTTCCAAAATTTGAAAAAAAAAGAAACAGATCGAAATCGACGGAAATCAGAAATCCTATTCCAATTTCCACCCCTAGACACTAATTACACTACATTCAAGAACTGAAAAAAAAACACAGCAACTTAGCTACCTTAACACCGTTTGTTACAGTAGAGGAGCAAAGCGGCAAGTTCTCCGGAAAAAGATTAACGCTTCTAACTTTTTCTTGGGTGCGTACTTTAACAACACCATCTTCCAACCGACGAGCATGTTCTTCAAGCCACAAAAGCATACCGTCATGCTCCTGGTCAACGCCTCTCGACCCGATCAACTCACCCGGCACACAAGGCATCATTTCTCCATCCGAGACAAGATTCCTCGTACCCACAAAAACCTGACCGCTTCCACAGTTCAAGAAAAACATCTTCTCGCTATAAGTAAACGTAGCCGAAGCCGCCACTACGATATACTTGGGCCTACTCCCGAACCCGAGCCGACTCATAACAGCCCTCGTGTCGTGCATCACTTGTCTCAAGGGCAACAAGAACACGTTCACAATGTGGTCGTATAACGTGTAGCCGCCGATAATTCCCAGCAGACTTGACGGTAAGTATCCCGTATCCTCTTGAGGTACTTCTTGAGGGTTTTGACCGTCGCAGAATCGGTAAAGGACCCTTGTGGGGAGAGGGAGTTTGACTTTCAAAGACTTTTCGAAATTCTCAATCTCGGATTCGGAAGCACCCTTCCGTAGGGTGGGTAAAGATTCCGGAAAATTCTCCGACAGCCATTTCTTGAGCTTGCTCCAACACGTGTTCACGCGCATGACGAGCGGCCATGGGTACATGGAGAATGCTTCTCTCCATGCTAGATACGCTGCCTGCAGACGAGCTCTCATCGGTAAGACAATATTTTTTTACCAAATATGCGAACTACATCAACATAAATTAAAGTCCGGCCACAACAGATAATCTAAACTTAGTAGTCACTACAACATTATGCGACTACAAAATCGTAAAATATCTGACATTAATTAACCTGATTGAAAATTAATGCTATTTTAATTAAAATTTATGAATATTCACAGATTTTCTTTTCTTTCTTCGGATAGTTTTAAATCGAGATAAGTAGTAATTATGCAAGATGACACATATGCATAGCAATATAGATTTTGTAATTTGGTTCAATACTTATGGAATATAGAAGCATCTTCTAACTTCACATAATTTTTTATTTATTTTTAATTATTACCACAACTAAAAGATAGACATAATAAAACATCATATGAAAACAAAAGATCATAGAAAAATAATTTAAATTAAAAAATTAAATAAAAAAACCCAGGTTAATTTCACATTAAAATTTAGAGGGGGGCAAAAAAGATTGACCTTGAAAGAAGAGGTGGGATTTCCGGAAGGATCGATTGGAGAAGAAAGATTGAGATCGTGGGAGCAAAATAGGGCCCAAATTGAGTCTTCAGAAGCCCAAACCCTAAATTGTTTGCTGAGGCAGGCAACCGAGGCTACTTCTTTAGGGCTCAATTTTGACAGGATTACGTGCATCGCCAATCCACCCACGCTCTCCAAATCCATTTTGATTGATTAATTGATTGATTGATTGTAGAGAGAGAAAGACTCAAGAGTATTTGTTCCTTGTACTCTTTTTCTTGCTTGCTTCTAGAGAGAGAAAGATGAGAGAGAGAGAGAGAGAGAGAGAGGAGTGGAAAATGGCCGACTTCTTCTGGCTGTTGCGGATTTCTACGAGAGAAGCTCAAAAATGTGATTTTTGTCTTGATTATTTATTAGCATAAATTGAAGTTATATTTTTTATTTTATTTTATTTTATTAAAATGTCTTTTTTGACAAATTCCATCCTCATAATATTATTTATTTTCCTATTTGCACTCTTCACTTGTATTTTATAGGCCAAACGAAATAAAATTCAACTATTGAGTTTTTGGCTGTGCACCAAAAAATCAATCTTTTTAGGGTAAATTACAAACAACCCCCTGAGGTATGGTCAAATTACAAAAAAACCCCTCTTGTTTGGATAATTACATCTACCCTCCTCAACTATGATTTTTTCTTACACCTCCACCCTTATGGTGCCGAATTCAACATAATCATCTAGATTCCGTGAAATGTACTCTAGTTTGTACTCATTTTGTGTAAAAATACAATTTCCGATGCACCACAAACTGATATATACAAGCTAAAAATCACATATTATGATCATCTTGCTTCATAATGTAGAGTTTGAATGGAATGAAACGGGTACAAAAGTGATAATATTCCATATAATCTCGAAGATTCCACTAAGTTTGAGGAGTTGAGGGGGTGGTTGTAATATCCAAACAAGAGGGGTGTTTTTGTAATTTAACCATACCTAGGGGGGTGTTTGTAATTTACCCATCTTTTTAATGTTTATGTGATTTGGACACGTTTTTGTATCCAATACTCGAAGGACATATATTGGACACCTTATGGACCATTTTATAACAAATTTTTAAATATTTTTATTGTTTCCCTATTTATTTACATGATTTAATTATGAATTGTAAATTGATAGTTTATATTAAAATTTATTTTAAACATGTCTATAAAAATATATAAAAGGAATTGATATATGAATAAAACCTTATATGTTTATATACCATATTTTTATAGATATAAGCGATTAAATTTTATTTTTATGTACTTGAATCACTTGAATCTGTTAGGCATTGATTGGTTCATGGATATTGAAATCATGAGCCAAATGAAAACGAAAAGGAAAATAAATACAAAGAATTTTAAAATTACGAGTAGGTTTGGTTTTCTAAAACAAATAAATGAAAATCTATTTTGTGGAATATAACTTTCTTTAATTTTGTTTGGTTTTTAAGGAGAAAAAGGATGAGGGATACCATTAATGATGCACCACGACTCCAACGTCTGACGCCACATAATATTTTCATCTTTTTACGTAATAATTTACACAAACCAAATAGAGCCTTAGTTCTTCTATCGCTTAAACAAGTTTCAACATTTTGTACCGTGTAATAATATGCCTAATTGGTCCAACCCAATGGGCCTATAAATTATTTACCTACTAAGCCACAAGCCCAATATTGAAGACCACTATCACCAAGGCCCAATCACCTTCAAGTAAAGTTTGTGCCCGAAAATCTCAACTACACTATAAATAAATGTTTGAATTCATTCCTTAAGGTACGTTCTATATTCACGAACAATCTAGAGTGCTTATTCTCTCTACTATTTCTACGATCCGTACATCTGACTTGAGCGTCGGAGGGGTTTCTGCCGGATCAACCCCCGGCTTAGTTCACGTGTGCTCATTTCGCAGGGACCTCAGGATCATCAAGTTGTCAAACTACTGATCAGCTTTGCTCTCCCAACTCGTTTTCTACACTACCCTAGGTGATCTAAGTAATTAGCATCATCATTTTGGCGCCGTTTGTGGGAACGATGCAAACCAGATCACGTAGCCAACAATATCCTCCTGAGGCGTCTGCTCGGAGAGAAAATGACACAGCTAACAACCTCCCGGTCCGTGGAGGCTCTGGCTTGCCACCTCCTCCACGTGCCGCGGATCCGCCTCGCAAGGTTCAGGTGATCCCCCCTCGAGACCCACCACTCGCCGATCCACCACTCCCTGCTCCTCGAACGGTTCAAATAACCGAGGATGCGCTCCAACGCATGATAGCAGAAGCTTCAACTCGCGCTGCCACAGAGGCCGTGACCCAATATATCGCCACGATGGGAGCAAATGCTCCCAACGCGATACCAGCACCTTGTCACGGCCCGCGAGTTTTGACCCAACCCCTTGCCGATTTCCCTTGGGTTGGGGAGGTTAAAAAGTCCAAGATGTAGCCCAAATAGGGTTAGGCCCAAGTTGGCCCAATTGTATAGTGGTAGGTAGGGATTCTTTGGTAGGTAGAGGTAGGTGGTGGTAGGTAGAGACATTTAAGGGATTGTTTCACTCCCAACCATTAGATCATATCGATCTCCACCGTCCATTGAGGAGGTGGTCTTGTATAAATAGAGGTAGGGTCCTCATTTGTAATCATCCAACAACATATCCAACAAATACTCTAGCAATAAAGTACTTTTCCTACCAACTCTCTTGTCTTATTAATTTATTTCTTCGTTTCCATCACTTAAGTATTCGCAACACAATTCGGGAGAGGCTGACTTAGCTATCGCGAGGGGCGAGAAGGAGCTAAGGCCGCACGGTTCTTTGTTAAGGGAACAAGTCCGTGACAAGTGGTATCAGAGCCCGGCTAAGGGCTTTGTGTTGATCGAATACTCAAACGATGGCGAACATTGAAGACATTTCGTACGTAACCGAGGGACGTGGCAGGGAGGCCCACGTAAACAAAAAGAAGAAGAGGGACCACAACAAGGCTCGTGGGGAGAGTACCGTTAATGAGGCCGTGCTAACGGATCATGGCGAAAGACTCGAGAGGCTCGAGAATAACATCGCCATAGCGGAGCTTAGCGAACGATTCGAGAAGCTCGAGCACGATACGGGTGTGTTGGAGAATCACGTCGCTGAGCAACTCGACTTGTCTAGAGACAATGAGGCGTTGCGGGAGGAACGGTTGGATCGATTGGAGGCCATCATCCAATCCCTCCAAGAGAGCATCGAGGGGATGCGCGACGACTTGGCCTTGTGCAAAAAGGCCGCCGCTAACGGTAGCATTGGTGCTACTTCGAGTCCAAGGGTGGACTGCCCGAAGCTAAGCCAACGGGATTCAACGGCGTAAGGGACGCCAAGGAAGTTGAGAACTTCCGATGGAGGATGGAGCAATACTTCGAGGGTATTGGTCTAGTCGACGAGACGATCAAGGTAAGAACTCCCTTTACCTTTCCGATACGGCAATGTTATGGTGGCGTAGAAAGCACGCCGATATCGAGAAAGGCATTTGCCGAATCGATACTTGGGAAGAGTTCAAGAGGGAACTCAAGCGACACTTCTACCCGGAGAACGTCGTCTATGAGGCTCGAAGGAAGTTGAGGGAACTCAAGCAACGAAGTTCAATCCGCGAGTACGTGACGGAGTTCACCACCCTCACCCTTCAAATTCCCAACCTCTCCGAGGAGGACCTTCTTTTCCACTTCACCGATGGTTTACAAGGCTGGGCCAAGCAAGAACTCCACCGACGAGACATCAAATCCGTCGATGAAGCTATTGCCGCCGCCGAGTCTTTAACCGAGTATCAACCGAGAGAGCCGTTGTGAAAAGAGAAGTGGAGCCCGACTAGAGGCGGAGAAGAGAGACGGGACAATCATAGTCGGGACTATCGAGACAACCGAGACCCAAGGCGAGCGTCAACCTCGGGGGAGGAGACAAGCCATCCTCACGCCATCAACTTGAAGAGAAGAAGAGGTCGTTTGTGCCTAAGGGAGGATGCTTCGTGTGCAAGGGGCCGCACGCGATGAGTCAATGTCCCAAGATGGGGTCATTGTCGGCACTTTTACAACAAGAGGCCGAGCAAGACACAAACGAGGAGCTAGGCAACATGGGATCGCTCCAACTTCTGAACGCCTTAAAGGCTAATCCGATGCCGGCGACATCAAGCAAGGGGCTGATGTACGTGGAGGCCCGCATCAACGGTACCCCAGCAAAGGTGATGGTGGACACGGGGGCGACCCACAACTTTATCACCGAGGACGAGGCCAAGAGGGTTGGCCTACTGTGGACCAGACGAGACGGTTGGCTCAAGGCCGTTAACGCTAAGGCACAACCGCTCAACGGTGTAGCACGAGACGCGGAGCTACACTTAGGCACTTGGAAGGGCCAAGTGGACTTCTCGGTAGCACCGATGGATGATTTCAAGGTGGTGCTAGGCATGGACTTCTTCCGCAAGGTAATGGCTATCCCGATGACTTGTTTCAATTCGGTTTGCATCCTAGAGAAGGGGACACCTTGCATGGTACCGGCCATCAACGGCACCACAAAGGAAGAAAGGACGCCACCGAGGCAACTGTCGGCCATGCAAGTTGCCAAGGGAGTTCGACGGGGCGAGCCAACATTTCTAGCCACTTTAAAGGAGGACAACCCACCCGTCAACAAAGAGGAGGACGTGCCACCGATCATCCAAACCGTCTTGGAGGCCAACCAAGACGTGATGCCACCGAATTTGCCCAACAAGCTTCCACCTAGGAGGGAGGTGGATCATGCCATCGAGTTGGAGCCGGGAGCCAAGCCACCCGCCATGGCTCCCTATCGCATGTCACCGCCGGAGCTTGAGGAGCTCCGAAAGCAAATTAACGAGTTGGTCGAGACGGGGAAGATCCGACCATCGAAGGCACCTTACGGCGCACAGGTCTTATTCCAAAAGAAGCACGATGGTTCTTTGAGGATGTGCGTGGACTACCGGGCGCTAAACAAGGTAACCATTAAAAATAAGTACCTTATTCACTTGATAGCCGATTTGTTCGATAGGCTTGGTAAAGCCAAGATATACACGAAGATGGATTTGCAAAAGGGCTATTACCAAGTTCGCATTGCCGAAGGGGACGAGCCAAAGACAACGTGCATCACTCGATACGGTTCTTACGAGTGGCTTGTCATGCCGTTCGGGTTAACCAATGCCCCGGCAACATTTTGCACTCTCATGAACAAGATTTTCCATCCATACTTAGATCGGTTCGTGGTGGTCTACTTGGACGACATCGTCGTTTATTGCAATACCATGGAGGAGCATGTCAACCACCTTCGCAACGTCTTCCAAGTACTTC